CGGGGGGGCTGGGAGCCAGGACTCCAGGGGTTCTCTCCCTGGCTCTGGGAGGGGAGTGGGGGCCGTAGTGGTTAGAGCGGGAGGGGCGGGTGCTGGGAGCCAGGACTCCAGGGTTCTCTCCCCGGCTCTGGGAAGGGAGTGGATTGGGGTATCTAGTGACCCAAATGGGAAAGGCCCCGGGCCCCATATCCCAGCCAGTCCCTGCCCTGGAGCAGGATGGGAGCCAACACCCCCTGGAGGAAAAAAGCCCCATGCCCCATTTCCCGCCCCCCTGAGGGAGCCAGTCCCTGCCCTGGGGCTGATTGGAGCCGGCGCCCCCTAGAGGGGAAAGGCCCCGGGTCCCTTGCTGGGCTCAGCCATTGAGCTCTCAGCCAGGACTGGACTGTGTAGACAGGACACAGAGCCCAGGGCAGTTCTGCTCCAGCCGGTACCTACCAGGCGACGCAGACGCAGAGGAACAGCCCGGCGGCCCCCACGCAGAGCCCCCCCAGGATCCCGGCGTTCCGGCGCTGGCGCGGCGCTGCCAAGGAAAGGGAGGATTGGGGCAGCTCGGCATCTGCCAGCTGCTCTGGGGTGGGAGGTGGCGCTGCGGCTGGCTCTGGGGGGGCGCGGGGGCTGGGTATATAGAGCCTCACGCAGGGCGGAAGTTGGCTCTGGGGTTGACTGCGGGGGTGCAGCTGGCTCTGGGATGGGGTGCGGGGGCTGGGTGTACAGAGCCCCATGGGGGGGATGCAGCTGGCTTTGGAGTGAGGTGTGGGTGTGGGTGGCCAGAGCTCCACACGGGGGATGCGGCTGGCTCTGGGGTGGGGTGTGGGGGCCGGGTGTACAGAGCTCCACGCAGGGGATGCGGCTGGCTCTGGGGCCGCTCACCATCGATGGCGCGGTGGAAGCAGGTGCCGTTGGCGTGGCAGCATTTCCTCTGCAGACACTGGCTGGGATAGAAGTTCTCGGCGTTGCCGCCGCAGGGTGTCCGCAGGGAGGGGTGCTGAGTGCAGGCTGAGGGGGGACCCCTGTTAGTACCAGCTGCCCCCACCCCGTCCTGCTTCCCCCATCCTCCCAGGCCCTGTGTCCCTCTTCACCGCCGCCCCCACCCGTTTGGGGTCCTGTTCATCCTTTGTGTTGCCACCAGGGGGCTCCCTTGGTCTGCTCGGATCCCCAGAGCAGGGGATGGGGAATGGGCGGGGGGGGGCTGAGGAGTAGGGGAGGGAAGCAGATGGGAGTTGTGGGGAAGGTGCGGTTGGGGGTTGGGGGCAGCATGGGGGAGGGGAGGAGGCAGGGCAGTGGGGAGGGGCAGAACAGTGGGGGCGGGGTAGTTACTCACTCAGGGGTCTGAAGAAGCTGCCTATCCCTGTGGCACCTGTCAGGGGGGAGGGGCAGATTTGAGACTGGCCCTGATCCTTCCCGGACGCCTGGGTCCCCCCATCCCCTCTCGCTTGACCCTTCCCCACTCCCCCCTTTGGGGCTGGGGGCAGCCCTGCACAGGCTCCCCGGCTGCCTCCCCCACAAATCCTGCCCCCAAGGCTGGGAGCTGCAGGGTCCCCCAGGGACCAGTGCCTCATGGTGCCATCTCGGATGCCTGGGTCCCATCCTAGGGGCCAGCCCCCCACTCACCAGCCCCCCCAACGCTCAGCGCCAGCAGGAGGCAGAGCAGAGGCAGGGGCGGGCGGGGGCCAGAGCCCGTCTTCATCCCGAGCCCTTCACGGGCGGGGCAGGGGCAGGGGCAGGGGCAGCTCTCTCCCTGTGCCAGGAGCGCCCCCTGCAGGAAGCACACGGCGAAGACCCTCAGCACCGGGCAGGCAGGCTGCGCGCACCAGGGGGCGCCAGATGGCGGGGCAGGGCCAGGGGCTCCGCCGTTCTGGAACCCGCCTCACAGAACCCAGGCGTTCTAGAGCCCCCGCGAGAGCGGCGTGGGAGTGGGGGGCTGGGCGAGCAGGGCCTGCGGGTCAGGAGTGAGGGGCACCAGCAGGGCTGGGGGGGGAGCAGCTCACAGACTGGGGGCTGGATGGGAGCTGGCGTCCCCTAGAGGGGACAGGCCCCATGTCTCATTCCCTGCCCCCCTGAGCCAGCCAGTCCCCCCTCCCCTGCCAGGTGAGATGCTGGGGGCAGGGTCCAGCCTTCGCCCCTTTCTCAGCCTCTGCGACATTTGGGGCCATTAACTGCCCCTCCCCCCTGTGCTGCACATTTCCCACAGCCCCTCCCTCCCCCACGCCCCCCGCCCCGCAAACCCGGAGCCGCCGGGTCGGTGATGAACTCACAGGATTTCTGGGAACCTGCAACTGCTGAACAGGTTCCCGGACACAGCCCCACCGGCGCCCCTCACTGCGGACCTGCAGCCCCACCGGCGCCCCTCACTGTCAGCCCCCCGCCCCGCCGGTGCCCCTCGCTCCCGACCCGCCGGCGCCCCTCACTCCCGACCCCCAGCCCTGACGGCGCCCCTCACTCCCGACCCCCAGCCCTGACGGCGCCCCTCACTCCCG